GACATGACCGAATTTTCCTGCACTGATGGGGGAAAAAAATTCTTTTGTCTACTGTAGATGGAGAACTCGGGACCCTTCCGAATCAGCATTTTTACCGCGCGTTTCGCGCAACAATTGGTAACCAGGATATTCGTATGATTGGTCAGGCGTGCTACTGAACAGTTGGACATTATTAATATCAAGCGGGACTGGACCAATGCCAGGTATATTTATTTTAAATGTTGAATATATCTATATATAATATGACCAACTCTGACCGTTGAGTTTAATCCCAACTAGTAGTAATATCTGAGGGAATTTTTTCTCGCAACCATCAAGCTACCATCAATCTACCACCAAGCTACCAGAATTTCTGGTAACTTTCTGGTAACTTTTTGGTAACTTTCTGGTAGAGTCCTGGCTACTTTCTGGTAGATTGATGGTAACTTGATGGTTGCGAGAAAACTTCCCTTCAGATATTACTTAGACATCATGTGTCTTGCCAGCGCGCTAGTACTACTAGTACTACTACTGGACCCTGGTGGGTCCCGCAGTACTTGTTACTAGTACTAGGCAGTGGTACACTACGTAGTAGCAGCAGTCCTGCTCAAGGAGGAGCAAAATTGATCTATCTGGATGGATCCTAGTACAAAGCTGTGTAGAAAATCCTGTAGAAAATCGTGGATCAAGGTACTTGCCTTGCCATTTTGGTCAAAATAGAAGGGTTTTGTCTCCGGGTACAAAATTGTACTGAGGCCCACTGTCGTGACCTTTACCTACCTCCAGCGTGCTGATTCCAGCACACTAAACTGTTCTTTTTCTTCATTCTAAAGAAAACTACTCGGTTCAAGCAACCGACCATGGGAATTAGTGTATTTGCAGCACTTACACTCAACCTTTTACACTGTACTTGGTATCAATCAATAGATCTCTTCCATTGTCGATTTAAGACCGCTTGAACTGTAGCAAAGGACCCAGTAGAAGTTTTGTTTTGGTCTGATTAGTTTGGCTTATTTGTTTACGACGACTGCTTACGTTACGAATGACAATAACAACCGACACTATCGAAGCAGCGGCAAGAGAAGTGCTGAGATGGCCAGAGAGAAGACAGTGGAATTCGCGAGATAAAGAAAGAAGATTCAGAGCATGTTTTGGAGCTCCTATCAGTGTTGTAACAGATGTTTGGAACAGGATAATTGACCACCATGGACCTATTGATGCTGGGGGAGAACCAAAACATCTCTTGTGGGCTCTAATTCATCTAAAGATCTATTCAACAATTGAAGTCCACTGCTCTATAGCTGGATGGCCCTGTGCAAAAACGTTTGCAAAGTGGTCCTGGTATTTTGTCCAACGAATTGCTGAGCTCAAAGATGAGGTGATTAGTCTTGATAATAGGTTTGATGGTTTAGATGAAGAAGTTCATGTCACCTGCTTTATGAGTGTAGATGGAACAGATTGCCCTGTATTTGAACCATGGCCATTTTCGAGAGGGATGTATTCCCACAAGTTAAATGGACCAGCTGTCAAGTATGAGGTAGGCGTCTGCTTAAAGACTGGATAGATTGTTTGGATTAATGGTCCTTTTGTTGGAAGCGCAAGTGATGCAACTATATTCAAGGAAGGACTGAGTCAACTGCTTCATGATGAGGAAGGAGTTGAAGTTGATAGGGGCTATAGGGGAGATGATAAGATGAAGCTTCCAGATATGGGGATGACCAGCAAACAAAGAAAGATGAAATCTAATGCCCGAGCACAGCATGAAACTGTGAATGGGCGCCTCAAGATATTCAATGTTCTCACTACTCATTTCAGGCACATGAAACCAAACAGGGCAGGAATGCTAAAGAAGCATGGAATGTGTTTCAACGCCGTTGCTGTTATTACCCAGCTCAAGTTTGCCAATGGTGAAACTACGTTTGAAGATGGATTGGATTATGAAGTCGGATACTTTTAGTAGGCTAATAGGCTAGTAGAAAGCACTTTAAGACCATCGATAGTCCCTGACAAGAGGAGTGGATTGAAAGAGCAGCAGTGGTAATGGACAGGAGCAATCCCCTAATGACTGACTCAACAGCTGGTATACTCTTTCTGGGCCTTTGGAAATTCAATCGAGCCAGCTGGAACTGTTCCAGGGATAGTTAAGAGGGATCGCCAATAAGAGTTAAGAAGAGGCCCACGTAGTAGGAGATCCTTGTCCCGTGACTCGTGTAATTATTAATTACTACTACTAGATTACTAGCGTCTTGTACATACTATTCATAATTACTACTACTTCAACGCCTATCCTTCCTGCCATTGCTTGAAATACTGCTCAAGACTGTCTAAGTGTCCTTTGGCTGCTTGGAAGGCAATGATTGGGTCCTTAATAGAGGACTTGATTGATGAATCAGTTGAATGAAACRAATCCTCCTCATTACTGCTCAACATTCTGGCAGAGAGCAGCTGCTCGACTACTAGTCATTCATCTGGAGGATTAGGCTGGTGGTGTGGAGAAGCAAAGGAAGTGTTAGTTCTTTGTCTCTTATTACTAGGCGTGTGCTCCTGCTCCAGCTGCTGGHGCTCCTCCCTCTGCTGGGCCAGACGCTGCTGCTCTAGAAGCTGTGCTTGGAGCTTTTTCTGTTGCTCAATCCTTGCTTCAAGCTGTTGTTGCYGYGCGAGTTGCTCATCAAGGGCCTGTTGCTGAGGTGACTTACTAAATCTGATACTTGATTGCTTAATGGCAACAGGGGATGCAAAAGGCTTCTTTTCATCCTTCCTCTTCTCGAGGAATAAGATCTGGAGGATAGTTCCTTTGTTACCATTTGCATCTACCGGGCATTCAAAGACATCTGCCTTGTACTTGTCATCAGAGCAGTCCATGGGCTTCTCAAATCTAAACAAGCCTTCAGAATAGATGAAGCCATCTTCCTCTTCCATATCACTTGAGTTCTTCCCCATGGAAGTGTAGACCGGGTGTTTATCGTGATAAGTCTCCAGAATATTGCCTTTAGCATCCGCGTAGGTATCCAATCCAGTCATAAAGAGAGCATTCTGCATGAAGATGGGCCATTTGAGCTTGAGCTTCAAAGTTCTTGAGTCAATCCATTCAATCGAATAGTCTGTTTCCTTTGTCCCACTGTGAAGGAGCATCCTCATCAGACAAAAGCCATTCAATACCTTTGCTCTGTAATCAAATACCTCCCAGCGACCAGAGAGCATGGGATACGGGAGTGCTCCACTAATAGTTTGGATAGGGCCTTTGAAAGAGAGTTTCCTGAGGCTAGAAACTATTTGTTCTTCCTCTTCTCCCCCCCCACGACCAGGGCTTGAAATTCGGACAGCCTTTTTGCTGGTGGGCATGCTTTCTTCAGACGCTACAGATGATGCTGCTACCGACGAGTCGTCTTGTTCGTGGCGGGAGGATGCAATGGACTTGTCTGCTTCTGATGATTCGTTGAGCTGTTGCTGTCGACGCTGTCTGTGTTCTCTCAAAGGGTCTACAAGCTTGATTCCTCTCTTTTCTAGGTCTTGTGCAAGTGTGGCCATAGCCTGTTGTTGGTGGTAGTAAGAGCAAGCGGCCGGTGAGCTGCACGACAGCCAGCGACAGCGACACAGCAGCGGCAACGATTTGCTTACCTTTCCAATCTTTGCCCAACTAGATTCCTTGATGCTCTGCCTAATATAGTTTGAGCTTYGATACTTCCAGATAGATCCGGGCTTGTCSGTAGGAGACCAGCCTTCTTCTCCTTCCGTATACAAAAAGAGCCAGAAGTTATAACAGGCAATGCGCTTCGACAGCTCTAATCTGTCATACACTAGCTCAGGATGCTTCTCCTGATCTAACTGCTTTGGTCCCTTCTTTGTTGCATTCCTTGCCATTGTGAGCGATTGCTGCTGCTGCTTAGTGCTGCTGGTAGCAAAAGATTAATGCAAAATGGATCAGCTCAGCTTTTAAGCGTGAAGACCAAATTTTCAATCATGGATTGCACCAGGCGCGCAGGACCGGTCATCAGCTCGTGCGCTAAGACCACAAAGAAGCTACCAGAATCCTAGCAGAAACTTACCATGAAGCTACCGGAAAGCTACCAGGAAGCTACCAGGAAGCTACCAGGAAGCTACCAGAAATTATGGTAGCTTTCTTGTAAAAACTCTGTAAGGATTCTCAAGGTCTCTACGGGGTTTCTAAAATTTTGGTTGGGATTAAACTCAACGGTCAGAGTTGGTCGCATTGCATATAGATATATTCAACATTTAAAATTAATATACCTGGCATTGGTCCAGTCCCGGTTGATATTAATAATGTCCAACTGTTCAGTAGCACGCCTGACCAATCATACGAATATCCTGGTTACCAAAATGTTGCGCGAAACGCGCGGTAAAAATGCTGATTCGGAAGGGTCCGGATTAGCGGTTCGCACAACACCACCTTCGATGAGCGATATGATCGGGTCTGCTGCCGCAAAAGACCAGTGCGGCGGGACATTCTTGGTAAATANGTGTGACGCAATTGATGTGATGCAGCCACCATGCTGCTGTGAATCAGATTCCTTTCTTTGTCAGGAGGATCTCTTGAGGCATACACTACACAACTACTTGAGCCCTATTGTCGATGACAGCCAATGATCTTGAACAATCCACTAAAGGCGCAATAGCTTCATATGCCTTGCAAGGTTTCACAGTGAAGAAAACAATAGCTGATTCTCAGCGGGGAACAAGGGCAGCAAACACATTGATATGCGATACTTCTTTGTGACAGATCGTATCCAGAAAAGACTTTGAGGAATATCGGCGTAGATATTTGGGCATACCAAACAAGTATAATTTGCAGCAAGAACAACAAGCAAATAGCAATAGCAAATTACAGGAGTGTGTTGGAATCAGAAAACTGTTAGGAGAAATTACTACTAGGAATCCAATCCTGGATGGACAGAACAACAGAGAAAACAGCAACAGCAGACAAAGAGAGAAACACTGCATTTCAGCACAGAGAGAATAAGTAAGGTCGCTTTTCTTTAGTTTGTTCAAAGACAAAACATAACATTAGTTCAATCTAGTATTTCAACAGCATTGTTACTACCTCTACTTCCACATTCATCATTCAGTGAAGTAGTAGTAGTCACGTACGAATTGGAACATCTTGCCGGAGGTTGGTTGGGTGACGATGGACAGTGGCAACGGGCGTTGGAGCTAGGTGCCGTGCCGTGCCGTGCCGTGCCGTGCCGATCCTCGCGTGCGTCTCCGCCATTGGTTGTTCTCTGCCTTGTCGTTGGGCTATTCTTTGGATTCTTGGATGGTGCTGGCAGTGGCGGGCTCGGGCTCGGGCTCGTTGTTGCCGTTGCGGCTCTGGGCGTGGCATTGGCGATCGGCCATGGTTTTGTTCTTGCTCTCGGCGACGCCGAGGTTGTGCCGGGCGGAACAAAGGACACCGGCGCCGGAAACGGGGGAGGATCCGAAAGCACCTCCCGGGTGGAGTACATCGACGGCACCGGCGAGCAAGGACGACGAAAACGACACCGAAAACGACACAGTATGTCGAAAACCGACGTCGTTGTCGTTGTCGTTGTCCTTGTCCTTGTCGTCGTCTTCCTTTCCTGCTTCCTGCCACTCGGTGGATTCGGTAGATGGGGCAAACGGCGATCGGGACCCAAGCAGCAGGAGCCTCGGCATCAACAACAACATCAACAACAACGACGACGACGACGACGACGACGACAACAATTACAATTACAATTACAACCACCACCACCACCAAAACTACAACAGCAGCGATCCCCCGTGGCTCTTCTCCGGGGACGATACAGCGGCGGTCGCTGTTCCCGTCCAGCGGATCGGATGCCGCGCACGAAAACGAGAACGCCTGGAACGAGACTCCCGGAAGGGCAGCGGCCGGAGACCCACCTTCCGGGACCACCGGCGGGCCCTGCGCACGGAGGAAGGCCCACCGGACGGGCCAGAGCCGTTGCGGTTGCAATTGCAGCTGCAATTGCAAGACCCGCCGCAGCGGGGAACACACACCCAACACAACCCCCGGCACAAGGAAAGCGGGCAGTCGGTGGAAGACGCCGACCGAGACAAGGGTTGCTGCCCGGCTCGAGCATTCGGTTTCGAGTCGATCGTTCTCGACCCTTCCTTCGTCCCCGTGTAGATTTAGTAATCGTGGTTCGTAACAGTATTCCTTAATTCTTTCATTATTTGTTACTTCATCTGTCTTGTTTGTTTGCCATCTGTTGGTTGGCTCGTTGTTGTTTGCCATCTGTTGGTTGGCTCGTTTGAGATATGATTCGATTCGATTCGATTCGATTCGATTCGATTCGATTTCAAGTCAACTCAACTCACACTTATTACCCTGTGGTTTGTTCTGTGTCTTCGTTGGAGTCTTCGTTGGAGTCTTCCTGGGAGGTCTCATCCGAGCCTTCGGGCGTTGGGAATTCCGTTGGGAACTGTGATGGAACAGCGGATGGTGCGGGTGTGTTCATCATCATGCCCATCATGTTCATGTTCATCATCATGTTCATCATGTCGTTCATCATCATGTTGTTCATGTCGTTCATCATGTCGTTCATCATGTTGTTCATCATGTTTGGGGCTTTAGTTGGGGTATTCATCATGTTGGACATGAGTTCTCTCTGGCGGTCTCTTTCTCCTTTTGCTCCTACCTTGGGGGAAAGTTTGTTGGTGTTGTTCGGGTTCGGGTTGGCGCCAATCTTCGATCCACGGAAATCGGCATTCACGCTGTCTTGGATGCAGGCCAAAGCCAAGAGGGCAACGATATTCTTTCTGTTCATCATTGTGGCGGTTGTAATGTATCGCTGTTGCTGTATTGTATAATTCAAGACAATAATACAATCTTTGAGATCTGCTGGTTCGTTTTACGAAGGCGTAAATTTGTGGTGGTCACCAAATCATCTTTCGTATCAAGTACGACTCACAAATATACGTACTCGTACATGTACCACCGAGTCATCAACCTTTCATACAATTTTCTGTTCTCTTCTCAGAAGTTCAAGCAGATTTTGATGTATTAAAAATCGAAACTAGGCGGTGGAATCTTTTCGGCAGTGTCTCTGCCGAACCTATTCGTACTAAAATTGGTGAGAAGCGTGCAAAATTTGAACCGATTCTTTCCGTAATTTCGGCGGGTCTTTCTGTTGAATCTTGCGATGGATTAAAATTCGTATTCGTGAAATACGGGTCATTCAAGCGAGCAGTGTTTCAACGAGCAAGCGGAAGGTCGCGCAAGACCATAAGGCATAGACAAATCATCCAAGCCCGCCGGTACCCCTAGGATTTCCAACCCCAAGTCCCGCCTTGAATGTCTGAAAAACTCCGACTTCAATTATCTTCGTAAGTACGAACCGGTACTTCAAAGATTGAATTATTCATATACCAATGCTTTACACATCTAGAAACTGCAGTCATATGACCCATGATGACCGGCATGATGACCAGCAATAGCCGTTCAAGGGAAGGAAAATTCCTGAAAGGACGAATACCAATACTATTGATCTAAGCTAGTGTGTATTGTTTCTTTTAACGAATACTGGACGAGTACAATGACTGGAAGTCTCACAAGTATCGGATGTACGAAGTAAATACGAGTACCTCTTCATGAGGCACATTGACATGACCGAATTTTCCTGCACTGATGGGGGAAAAAAATTCTTTTGTCTACTGTAGATGGAGAACTCGGATTAGCGGTTCGCACAACACCACCTTCGATGAGCGATATGATCGGGTCTGCTGCCGCAAAAGACCAGTGCGGCGGGACATTCTTGGTAAATATCCGTGGTAAGTATCCACGAGGGTGATCAAGCAATCGGTCGGCATCATGCGTGGCCAAATCACGAGTAGCTACTAGTGAGTGAGCCATAACCTCACCATTGTAAACACGTAGGGTACGTACGTACTCATGACTAGTAAGAGCACATGTACGGTATCGTACATGTCGCAGGTTGTGTGCTTCGCCGGAATTGAGTTTTTTGTTTTTCTTCTCTCAATTGCACCAAAATTTCCGTGATCAGGCGGTGATAGAAGTAGAAAAACGAAAAACACAAAAATGAACAATGGCCATTCGTTGCAGTTATAACTCCTGCGAATGTTGATATGCTCCCTTCTTCCTGTCAATACGTGGTCCACAATAGAGGACTTCGGTTATTCGCCGCTAGTTACTTGGGATCTAGCCTCGCAGCAATGTCCAGGTGGTGGTTTAGGTTTTCTAGTTTTCTTCTTCTTCTGCTACTACTACTACTAGTATTAGAAAATACGAATGGTACGGTAGTAAGGTACTTCTAGTATCATTTCTCACCTACGGTACTCGTACTAGAAAGAATACTGTATAGAAAATTACTACAGTACCGTACGTAGTGTGTACAAGTACCAAGTTCTTCGGTGCTTCTAGTAATACTGTACTACGTACTACTACGACTATGTAAGAGTACGTATTCGTAGTACTACAAGTAGGTCTCATACAATGATGATACGGTACGTACGATATACAGTAGACCCGTTGATGTTTTATCTTCAAGCTCATCTAATAGTACGGTAGCAGTACTAGAAATATTTGTAGCAGCCACCAAACATGTACTTACCGTACGAAGTACAATTACTAGCTATTCGTACGGTACCCTACTCGGACTTTGCCGTGACGGTTTTACAATCTTCCCCTTGCATCCGTTGGAGCTTCCGGTTTAGTTTAAACGATGACCCCATGTGGGCGGTGGCGGGAAGTCATAATCATCTACTGGCATGTCCACCCACTATTAGTAGTACTTCTAATTCAAAAATCACCCACAGCGCCGCTTTCTGGTACCTTACCGTACGTACTTAATAGAGCTACTAAGTACGGGCCCCATAACGGCAAGTTATTGGCAATTTCCGTACGTCAATTTTTCTCATTTTCCCGTCTCTATTTCCCCTCTCCCCCCATCCACACAAAAAACTACTTAGTCCGCAAATATTTTTATTCCTGGTCCTTACTAGTGGGAATATCAAATCARTGCTTATCTCGAATATTAAGGACCACCAATAGAAATATTTTGGGACTAGCGAGAAATTAAACAATGGAAATATTTTTATTTTCGTCCATTGGATGCCTTTTTTAACTGGTTTTAACTGTAAAAATGAGCTAAAAATTTCTATTAGTATTTGTACGGGGATTGCCAATAACTTGCCATTATTGGGCCCGTACTTAGTAGCTCTAGTACTTAATGGATCAACCCTCTTGAACGGTTCCCTTACTTTACGTTGATCGCGGAAGTAGAAGTATAGTAGTACAAAGTTGTAGCCCGGAGGGCCCTATTAACAGACGGTAGCTATGTCCAATTGAAAACACAGTGAAGCTCAATCGACGAAAGAAAATTCTGTTCACTTTAAATGCCCCCAAATTTTTCTTAAATAAAGCCAATTCCCGGAAGCGTGCATGGTTGGTATGCTATGGGTAGTCGCGTTATGAAAGAAAGTCCCAGTTTATCAAAACGCACGGTAGAAATACAAGGCATGATCTGTGAAGAATTGAGCAAAGACCATAGACAAGCTACGGGGTCGGTAAGCACGTACGAGTTCTCTTGTACGTAGTAACGTTCCGGGAAGTTTGTGACGTTGAGTTGTTGTGTCTCATTATTTGTTGCATCGTCTGCCAACCCCTGAAACGGCGTGCTGTCKGTTTTGAGCCAGATGGCTTTGCCGTTGAATGTAATCCACGTATAAAAAGTCATCTGGTTTTTGTCGAGTGCGGCGTGCTCGCAGAGAGCGCGCGCTGTCATAATCATCGTCGCAACGCAAACTATACGCAACATGTGTGAAAACAATTAGATCCTAGAGGAGAATCGGTAGAGTATTAATTCCGTTGGAGTTCGCTTATGCGACCAACCAATCTAATTACAATTTTTCGTTTGACATGCTACACCCGGCATAGCCCCCTACTTTGCAGCTGAAGTCACGCCTCGAGAGATCCTCGAAATAAGCGAGGAGCGTGCAACCAATACTTAGACATTCAACGCTCTATCGAACGGCAAACGCATAAAACCACAAATACAGCTTTCAAATCGCAAATCCCAAAATTATTGCCTGGAAGTATTGTGTAGGAATTTTACCGCATTGCATTGGAACATCTCGAGACCTTTTGCGTTGCCACCCACAGCCGTTTTGCCCAACTGATTAAGCCGTGGGCGTTGGATACCATTCCGTATCGAAGACGGGAAGATAGCAAACCCGAATAAACGATAAACCGTCGTCCAAATAGTTGACAGGCAGTAGTATTATTGTAATCATTGGACAGTATCGATTTGCTCCATTTAGCACACCAACCACCTGGACATACATCGGTTGTCGTCAGAACAACTCCGAGTGGAACCAAACTTGCGTCATCGACATTAACAAAACAGCAAACAACAACAAACTACGAGAGCCAAGGTGTTTCATATACATCCACTGCATCATTTTCAAAATCTGGCATGAACCACATGAAACTTTTTGAACTCCGTTTAATGAGATAGAATCGAAGTAGTTGTTGTAGGGTTGAATTGAATCGAATTGAATTGAGGCAGCACGAGGTTGCTTCACAATCAAGATGGCAGAAAGTAAGAAGGAAACAGGTGGAGAGGGTACGGTCATAGAAGGAGTTTGCAACAGCATTTCTCCACGAACACCGGATTATTGTCCCTTTTCGGTAGAAATCGAGCCTTCCAACTCTCAGGGCTTGGAACACCTTCGCTTGTCCACAGTGAACAAGACATGGACCCTAGCCATGAAAACAACGGTTCCTTTTTCGTTGTCGCAGAAGGGTAGCATACTTTCTCACGATAGTGAATACGAACTGAGCACTGCGGCGGAAGAGGAATTTCCGCTCAACAAGATGGATCACGCTCTGGTAGATTTAGACGTGCAGCAGGCCTTGAGCAACGAGCAACATGCACCCCACGGATTGGTTCCAGTTTCGAGCGATTCGGAGAGCTCCTCGCGAGATGAGAGTTTGGATGCAGTTGATGATCAGGAAGAAGACGAAGGGAATGCCAACGAATGTTCCATGTCCTTGCATCGTAGTCCAGATTCATCAGAAGCTCCCTGTGTATTGTCGGCTAGGCTGTCCAGGACGCCAACAAGAAAAGACAAGTACTCTAACGACCAGTGCAATGATACTCCGGGAGCAGTACCCTTGAATCCCCTGAATCACCTTCAGGTTTTGAATCCGGGAGTACCTCAGGGTCACAGAACGCAACAGCGGCATCACCTGAAGACTCCCCAACGGAATCACCGTTCACTTCAAAACCAACCACAGGCGCAACCTGCAAACGGCAATAGCACAACAATAACGACTACGAACTCTTCTGGGGTGGCCACCGCCTCGGCCGCCGATTGTATCTACGAGTGCTTTGCCATCGAAGATTTTACGCAATTCTTTTGTCCGTCTACCCCTAAGTCCGGAACCTTAGATACCACCACAACGACTGGTGCATGTCCGAGCCTCCCTACTAGTGCTTCGGCTGCCCCAAGTGGAATGGGCTGCCTGCCGCCCTACAATTACGACTTTGACAACCCAGTTCCTTCGTCTAAAGTAGCCTTCCCATCGATTCAGAGCTTTTGGCTGTCTCACCCATCACTGCCACGCAGCCGCGGAGAGTCTGCCTTTGATGCTAACCTCCCTCGAAATCGTTCTTACGGTCCCCGGAAAAAACGCGTTCGGAAGCTGTTAGATGTATGGCACGGACCAGTGAATCGGAACTATGCGATTCAAAGATCCTTGGACGATGCCTCACTCGATTGCCGACGACAAAGTAGGCGCAAGCGGGCCTATGCTTCGAAGTGGTGCTACGACAGCGATCCGGAGAATGAAGTAATTGGGCGTAGGCAGCGAAGGGCCGCACTCTTGCTCACTGACAATTGCCAGTCGTCCGCGCAGGCTTTGCAGCATCAATCCCTGAACGCAGAGGACTCACACCCACTAGAAGACAAGTTACAACCTCGCTATCGAAAATTTCGACCGTCTCCCTTCACGCATCTCGATACCGACGAAGAATCCTGTACCGAGTCTGATGTTGAGGAAACGTCGTACGAAAGTGCTGGTTGCGACAGCGATAGCCAGAGCGACCCTCCACCCCCTCCACCTCGCACCCCTAGGAATTCGGATCCCAAAATTTCCTTCTTGTTTCAAGGCGACACAATGGATGAAAGCGAGGTTGACGGTGACATCGACGATGGTGTTCACACGAATTCCAATTGTAAGACAAAGGAAGTAGATGAAGATTCGAAGATTGTCGCCTTTGATTTCGGAAAGACCAGCAAAAAGCTGTGTTCTGTTCCATCAGGCCATCGGCGTAACACTAGCTCAACGTCTCTGTCGACTACTGGACATTCGCGGTTCCACACGATACGACGTTCTGCGGAGGATGCTCAAGAAGAATGCTCATCTGAGTCTTCGACGGAATCATTATTTCTCGCTGGATCGGCTGGTACCAGGTCAAATCCCAAGTTATCCGAGGTTCGTGAACACAATCTCTTGCCTCAGTATTTTAAGTCCCACCCAACCCACTGGACAGAATTCCATTTGCTATTTTCGAGAAACGTTGACGAAGACTCTGTGAAAAGCCACGTCCACGAGCTGTCCAACGTGAAATTTCCCCTCGTTTGGCATCCCGCAGCGGATTCCGGGAGCTACAATAGGACCACGAAGGCCGCATCGTCCACGGGTAAGTCGTCCGGTAGTACAATTCCGTCAACGACTATTTCCTGTCCGACGGCGAAGAAGATTGCTTCCCTCTCCAGTAATGGAGATGACACCGGCAACGGCAAGTGTGGCGGCAAGAACAACACGAAATTTCCGATTGCGGTTGACGGAGCCTTTGAAGTCGGTTCCCACTTGGAACATATGGTTGTGCAACCAAAATTTACCTGGACGCCCCTCGCCCAGCCTCACTTGGAGGAGGAAGAAGATGCACACGATCCCACCTACTGCAAAAATAGTCGCGAGCTCTTTCTCTCGGAATCTGCACCACCCCAGGTCGAACTTCTATCGATCATTCGGGTCAACAAGGCCTGTGCGTACAATCACTGGGACCGAAATCGCTACCCATACGCCAGACTCGATCGAACGTGTGTTGTGAGCACCAACGACAAGAATCATTCTACCATAGTGCTTGAGGCAAGGTGTCCACAAGAGAGGGACTGGCTTGTTTTTTCCTTGAAGCTGATTGTGGCCCGACTTGCATCGATCATCATCACGCGCGACGAGGATATGCTTCACGAATTCTTTTCACCCTACTCGGCGTTGATGCAGCTTGAAGACGAGGATGAGGCTCAGCAGGGAGACGAGGGGGTTCGTTCAACGCAGCTGGAACACCAGGAAGGTTGCAGCGACTCTGTAATACCCAGGAAAGCCGATGCCACCCAATGTGCTGTTTCTCCGATGGGAGGAGAACCGTGCTCGGGGAACGCAGTTTCGGTGATCGATGACGGAAGCGGTAGCTATGTTTATACCCATCCGCATGAACAAATCGTTGGTGGAGAGGAATCTGGCTCCGTGCTCCTAGAAGACAGCGATGGCATTATCACATTCGATGACGATGATGACGCCATTAGTAATGAAAGTGACGAGAACGACGATGGGTTCTTTCAGGACCGTGATGATCAAGATCAAGAAGACTCGGTTCGAGCCCGCAATTCGGGTGCTTATGCTATCTTGAGACGATCGTTGACAGCCACTGGTGCGCTTGTTGACCATGAAGAAAACCATCACGAGGATGAAATGGTACGAACCCTTTCCTATTGATTGATTGATTACCAAAACAAGAAGTCGGCTCCGATGAAACATTCTGAAAATTCAAAGCGCTAACAAAATCCCAAATAGATCACATTACAAGTGTATATTACTTTACGTGGCTCTCGGCACCATGACCCTAACTAGCAGGGTGATATGCATTGAGTCGAGCAAAACGCGCAACAACAATGTTTGCGAGCTAACCACAACCAAAAAGATGATTAAATAATAGAAGAAAAAGTAAAATACGTATCATAAGAATATCAAAATACAAAATATACATACTGGTCCTTGTGAAATCCTACATATTATTTTTCACCTTGAACAAGGAGATGTACGAGGAAGCCCAGGACCATTGCCACCAGGTATCAAAACTCAGAATCGAGCCAATGGACGCCATACCAATGTCATTGTTCTTGCATGTGTTTCTCAGGAAATCTCTCAGGAAACGGTCGTGTGTAATATGCAATACTAGTACTACTGGTAGTAAAAGAAAGAAAGATACCAAGTACGTATCAGAGCTACATGCTGTCGAAACTAGAGAGGTGCTTTTACGGTACAGACTAGTACCTTACGTACGGCTCTAGTACAAGTTGCCAGGGGTCATATCTTCGGACTGGACAGTAATTAAAAAAAATAATAATTTCGACGTTCTGGTATCTTTTTTTCATTACAGTACGAGTTCTGTATTTCACGAACAACCAACTCTAAAAAGACCAGGTAGAGTACAACCATGGTGCGATGCGACGGACACAACCAAAAATACTCTACCATCGATGAGGAGTATGCCGGCATTGATTTTTCCAACTGGAAACGCGGAGACTGGTGTTGGTTGTCGCCGCCTCCATCCCCGCCAAGAAAACCAAAACCAAAACCAATCCCTTCCGTTTCGTCGCATCCACCGCAAAAGAGAAGGCTCTCCAGTGAGGACGGAACAGACACACCAAGCAACCCCTTGCGTTTCCACAAGCAGATGAAAGTCAAACCAGATTTCCCGGTATCGTCGTCTGGCGGGATTCATATTAGCCACCATCGCCACGAGAGTACGACACCCACCGAGCCCATGCTCATGGAAAAGCGAGGCAGCAGTTGCAAGACGAAGGCGGAACCCAGTGGCGATCGGGGGAATGATACCAATACAGTTCCAGCGATAGCTACGACGGTGTCCACCTCGAAACAATGGTTTCTTCCCAAGCAGGAGAAAAGAGAGAGGACCGAACACAAGCTCAGGGCTGCGAGGGAAAAAGCCTACGAAAAGTATGCGGATCGCACCCTCTTGCATCGGTTCCGGGGTATCGGCCTCCTGGGCGGGAACTTACAGATGACCTTCCCAAGTCCAAGAAAGGGCTGCCCGAAAACATTCGACGAGAACAACAACATCCGACAGGGCTACCCGAGGCCCAGGAGGGCCCTGAACCACCCCAACGTAGCCCTGGCCACCGGAGAAAAATTCAACATGGAAGCGTTTACGATTGCTACCTTTAGCGGGTTTTGGCAGCCGAACGGCCCCAACTTCGCAGCGCAGCCCACAGCCGCGGTTACCAGCCTGCCCGGATGCATGTTCGAGGACCGTAGCCTGGCAGTTCCGTTTTTCATCAAGCGGTCCCTCACAAAGAGAGGCGCAAAGAGGGAGGGAAGGATCCTCGGGTGGGAATACGTTGGGAACTACCGCTATGCATCCGACCCCGACCTCACCCTGTGGGGGTCCGCTGGGTCTGTCCCCGACGCCTGCAAGCGCGGGCTCGAGGACCGCATCCTCCGATCGGCCGCATCCGGAGACGACGACTTTGGCCGGAGGATTCTGGACCACTGGAGGAACAAGCTGAACGTTGCCCTCGAGCAGCAGAGCGACAGCGGCAACGATGGCGAAAACGATACACCCAATAGTATGATCCAGAGAGCCATTGCCATGGGCTACGGGCCGGCCACCAACGATAAGGATCTCCTGCGCCTTGTCCTGGAGCTCGACGAATACCACGAGCAGTACATCATCGAGTTTGTCGAGTACGACGAAGCCATCTACAAATATTGCAGCAAGGGCCCGACGAGCAAGAATTCCCGTGGCGAGGTTCAGGCAACCAGGGGTGGTGCCCTTGCCACCGCGGAGGACTGGTACAATTTTTCAAACGAAAACATGGTCATGCTGTAGTATAACATAGCACAGCCTAGCACAAGAGAGCGAAGCAGAGCTACCACCCAATCGGCATTTGTTTTTGGTTCGAAACAGAACCAAACATGCACCTCCCTTTGGAATTGACCTCTTTTTAGAGACAATCGCATTCTCCTGCTAAGGGTTCCAATTTTAGAGCTTACTGCGTAGTGCAGTACTTCTACAAGATAAGGCTTTCCGCAAGCTCACAAGCATTAAGAGTACTCGTACAAAACGAACGCAGTATCAAGCTAAAGCTCCCGACTGCAAATACAAAAATTGATGCTTTCTGTAAACGTCAAAAGCACTTGTGAAAAATGCAAACAACAAACGCATTTGTTATCAGATTGATATTGGAATAAGGATCATGTTACTGCTACAGCTATATCATAATCGACTCTCGTTCAATTCAATATTCTATTTTTTATCTACCCTACTGTACCCTACGATACGGTGCGTTACGTGATTGCTCTGATGCAATACCACATAATACTGTACCGTACTTCGTACTGATCACGAGTGACTAGTGAGTGACAGCGATGAGCGCATCCACTATGTCACTGGGAGAGTTACTCACTCACTGTCCGTGATTAAAGTTATTGACAGCAATAGATGTACTACTAAATATTAAATTTTGCGCTTCCCGTCCAACCAGGGGATTACCTCACATTTACAACTACCCTCACGTACTGTTGTACTGTACCTACTAGAGCTACTAAGTACAATTCCCATAATGGCAAGCTATTGGCAATTTCCCGACTATCAWTTTTTTTTATTTTCCCGTCTTTTTTTTCCCCTCTCCCCCTCCTCCACGAAAAAAAGTAGAAGTCCGAAAATATTTCTATACTCGATACTTACTACTGAGAATATCAAATCAGTGCTTATCTCAAGTATTAAGGACCACCAATAGAAATATTTTGGGACCAGCGAGAAATTAAACAATGGAAATATTTTTATTTTCGTCCTTTRGATGCCATTTTTAACTGGATTTAACTGTAAAAATGAGCTAAAAATTTCTATTAGTATTTGTACGGGGATTGCCAATAGCTTGCCATTATGGGAATTGTACTTAGTAGCTCTAGTACCTACCGTACAATGCTTTGTACATCTACCCACCCCATTTATGACACACGCCCTGGACGCGGTGAGCACCACCACAAGTGAAGTTTTCAGAAGCGGTTCGGTTGTCACGGACAGAGCACACTAGTATGTCATGACATTATATCTGTGTCAAAAACAAGTACCTTTATGTGTGCACGTCTGAATTCAAACACGATTTCACCTAAATCTATGTTTACATGAATCACCCAATACTATTAAAACTAATTCTGTTGTTTATGCCAGTTTGATGGCGGTTGTTTATGGAAGAAATGACAGTGGGGTGATTCTTCTTGTAAGGACCAAGAAGAATGAAAGGAACAAAAAGAATAAAAAAATAAATAAACTCATCTTCACAAATCCAGAACAACCTTTTACATCCTCTACGACATACCGGTACCACTAGATTCCGAAACACAATTTTTGGGTTCTCTTTTCAATCACTCTACCAAAACCCGCAGAAAATTCGCTGTAGAAGCAGCACGAGGGCTTCCACGATACAAAACGATGAAGTGGAACAAAACATAACAAAACACAACCACCAACTAAAAATAGCCAGTAGACACTGCGGTACATCACACAACGACGCGAAGAGAGGAATACAACGCACTGTGCACGAACCAACTAACTACCATGTACACCACAATGGCGACGCCAAAGGACTATCGGAAAGGGTTCGGCGAACGAATGTTTCTGTATGCAGTGAGCGAGGAGGAAGACGTCAACGAGGAAGAACCTTCATCAGAAAGCTGCAATTACTCGCCGTCGCCTTCCTTGTTTTCATCGGTGCCGTCTTTTTGCCGATTGGGGATCTTCGATTTCTTGGAGAGTGAAGACCTCGTCAGCTTGACACTCGTTTCAAAGAGCTTCTGCGCCGATTGCCAAAGCAGCTTCCTGAAATCCAGGATTGTTCCCGAATACGAAATTAGTCCTCGCCCTTATTCGAAATCAGCACCTCCGCCGTTGCTATCCCTCCTCAAACATTTGCTGGAGCACCAATCGCACGAAAGCGGGAAATTCTCGAGGTATCCTCGTGTAAGGGTACACAAAATCGACCAATTCTATGGAAGGGGAGAGAGCAGAAGAAACGCCAAGCTGCACAAGAAAATCCTTGCCGTTGTTGATAAGCTCACCGCCACTGACGACCGTCAGCACCACTGGAGCACGCTAGATTTGTCATTAAAGGTACCGACCGAACTTCCCAGCCCAGTCTTACCGCTTGGCCTCGCCGCAGTGTTTCCTGGGCTCAGGGAGATTGACCTGACGAACATAGTGTTTCCGACGGGGACCGACTTCGCAAAAATCTTTGACCGGCTGCCTTTCCTGGGAAAGATCGTCTGGAACAACTCTAGGGGTCTCTACCTAATGGGCTGGCATTTACCCGCCGCTAGAAGCAAGGACGGAAGCACAAATCCCAATTATCACCTCAAAGAACTGATCCTGGACGATTCCGAGTTCAACGCGAGGGATATTCGGTGGGTCAGGGCGGTTTCCGACATCGGAAACTCGAACAACGATGAGGCGTCGCCATCCAGTTTTTTCCTCTTTCATTCCTGCTGCGGAGAGGGCCTGGAGGGTCTCTCGATACGAAACGCCAGGTGCTACACAGGAAAATCTATCGGAAACGATAGGAACGACTCTTTCCTCAAAAACGTTCGAAAACGGGGTTTTGACAAGCCGATCCCCCAGACCGCCCTCATCAAGTTTGTAAGGAACGCGCCCTCGACCCTCAAGTGGTTTCGGAGCGATCTCACCACGGAACACAAGGTTATGCTTCGAGCGGAACGACCGGAAATCGAGCTGCTGTAACCGGAATCAAATCGATTTCGAAAAGCAGCGCAGTCATCGCGTGGCTGGAATGATGCGCCCAAGTGCGCACGGCTGCATCTAGATGCATTGGCAGGGAATTCAATCGAATCGAATCAAGTTGGGAGCTTGACTACGAGAACGACACCATACTATCGCCTAACACAAAAGATGCGCTTCCCGTATTCCTTTCGAACCAATAACTCTAGAATCTTGAGGGAGTTGTTTGCTAGCCTCGCCACCTTTATGTTCATTGAAGAAATTGTCTCGTATTCCGGGCTTGTCGTCTCTAAAGCACGTGTTCTGTGGCAAGGCTTCCGGAACATAAGCTGTCAAAAATGCTATAGAGTAACGACCTTGTCTTTCTCGCATGCCGAGCCGTTGGGTTGCAAGAATGCGAACGTATGGTTGGTTCGCTGGAATGCGGTGCAATAATGCACGAGAAAGAGAAAGTTGTTGAAATATATTGAAATAATCACGTTGCACTGATTCGGATAGTATGCACAAACAATTCACCTTGAGATTCTATAACGGAAAGTCCAATGAGCAGTGCAGAGTAAAAAATGATAACTGTAATTCTAATAAATTATATTCTAGTACGGCCAGTTCAATCAATAGTACTGGTACTACGATTTGACAATGACAATGGATCACGATCTTGGTGCGAAGTCCAAAACAAAATCTCTATGGATTGTAACTTATATCCACGGTAATCTTTCCGTTTGGTCGCAAAAGGTTGCGATCGATGGTCTTTTCGATCCGCTTCGGCGAGGAAGAGATGCCCTCCTTGTTCAGTTTGATTTTGCACTTGCCGCACTTGTCGTCGCGCGATCCGATGTCCTCGTCGAACGCCTTGAGTGTCAGCACCATGTTGTCGAGAGTAGGAATGTTGAAGGAAAAATCTTCGTTCCAGACGGGGTTGCAATCGTTGGACTTTTTGGAGCTGATCTGGTAACCGTAGTCGTGGTCTCTGAGATAATTGTCTTGTTCCAATTCCAATCGCACGTACGGATCGGTTTTACCGATAAAGTCTTTGTCCGCGAGATTGGTAGCCTTGACGAGTCGCACTTTGAGGATGCCCATGGTGATGGTGGTTCTTGTAAATCGTGTTCTCAAACGTTTGTTGTGGAAGACTTGTTGTTTTTGAAAATTGTGAGAAGACATGATCACTAGTGACATAGAAGTACTTGGTACTTACTTCGTACTCGTACGAGTAACGAAAACCATGTGCAGCATGAATAGGTTTACTTCCACTGCCTGTACCGTAGAAGTTTGTACCGTACGTACGGGAAAATATTCTGTTTATATTTATTCACGACCAAGACCGAATGGAAACCACGAATGAGATGAATCGTGGATTTTTCGCCTCAACTTGCATAGTTAATATCTAGTAGTATGTATTATACGTATTAAAACTATGATATAATTATTAGATTTGGACAAGCGGACCAATCCTTTACTCATTCGATGAATAAAACTCTTGCCTCTCCGGCTTCCAGCGCATCGTCAGCAATCCTTCCCGTGAGTGAACGAACTCACAAGGTTTTTTGTGCACCAAAAATAGGTAGGACAAAGGATACCCGCATACGAGTAAAGTACTGGTACTCGTACTCGTACTACGTACTCGCAACGTGCCTCATGTACCTCGTTTCCGACAGATCATCGTCATCGTTGTTTTTATTTGATTGCCTTGAAGTGCCCGTAAGGTACAACTCCTGTATCGAATACTTACTTACTTGTACTTCTGAGTGCATATCCGAGCTACTGGTATAGAATCATCTCACAGTAACGTGGTGTTGTAACGAAGCAAGACCACATCACAAAGCCTCGAGAGTAACCTTCTTGTTCTATACACAACAACACATAACAACATATAACAAAGACCAAGAACGAAAAATCTTAGTTCCGCACAATGAAATTCTTCTTCGCCGCAGCCGCGGCTGCCTTGGCAWCGGCCAGCAACAAGGGTGCAACTGTCGGTGTCACCGCCTTTGCCCCGTCCGGCACCGCAACGAGGAGCGCAAGAACAACGGACAAGAGGTCCTTCCCACCGCTCTTCAATGTCCCGCCCCCGGCCAGCGACGACGCCACCGCCACGCTGGAGTACGCCTCGAAGCTGCCCCCGCCGGCCTCCTTCTTCCAGCTCCAGCAGGACTGCCTTGCGGCAACCAACCGTGCCCTGGCGGACGACCAGACCCTCCTGGAGGTGGAGTTCCCCCCCCTCCCGGCCTCGGTGCTGGAGCTCGACGACGTCTCGGCCTACGATGTGGCCCAGGCCAGCCTGCAGCTGGCGGTAGAGTTTTCCCGTGGGATCGTGGCCACCACGGGGAACGGCGTGGACACGGTCACTATCCTGCTGCCCGACGAGGACGAAAAGGCGATCGCCATCGAGCGGTACACCGGAAAGACCCGGGACCAGGTCGACGACTCGACCTACAACGTCGAGGAGGGCGTCACGGTGTCCTCCCTGAGGCGGAGCGAGGCCGGCGACGACCGTCTCATTAAGGTGCGTACCGCTAGCAAGCCACACCGCGCGAAACCAAAAGCGCAGCGGAACGGTCTCCCTGGCATGGCATGGCATGGCATGGCACACCACGCCAAGAAGAGTAGCAGCTTTCTTGTATGATAGCCATGCGTTGTATCTGCGTGTCTGCGAATGCGTATCATTATTATTTGTTTGCGGCAAGAGTCTGTCGGTGACGAGTGGGTTCGAAGTGGGAAATCGCAGCACAACGAAACGAGGCGGGATAGGTCGAAGCGGTAGCCAAACAGAGCGACACGAAATGACCGAAGACAATGAAAGGGCAGCGAGCTCAAAAAGTTCATGACAGCTCTACAAATCATGTTTGTGATGGTGCAACGCCGGTGTTGATTGCATCTGGTTCGCTGTCAAGACTCTGTAGAGGGGCCTGAATTTGATTGCATTGAACAAGGGCCAAGCGGCAGACAGAGCGCTTCGATTGGTTTGTGTCGAGTTGAGCACAGTATTGGAATCCTTGCGAGGATTTCGCGACAGAATTGCCACGAACCACACCACCTATGCAACAAGTGAATGGAGGGGTCGACCAAACAGAAACGAGCACCTCCCTCTTGGTCCTCACAGACACCCGCGCTCACTATGCACATCGGATCCTTGAGAGAAAGAGTTATCGTTTTTCCTCTCTGTGCTGCTTCGGTTTCCTTGAACGAACCGGTGTTCCCAAACTCGAGACGCGACAAAGCAAAAGCGAGCAACATGCAATCCATTCGCCTGGCGCATTCCTCTGTCTGCTGATGGAGTAGTGCCTGGAGCATGGGACAGATCGGTTTCTGCCGTTGCATGCGTCGTCGTCATTCTGTATCGCAAAGACATCTTTTTCCACTCGGGACTCATAAACAAATCCTTGCCCAGAAAGCTGCTAGGTATCTTTTCGAGAAATCCAATCCATTGATTTCCCCCATGCCTGGGAGTTGCGATTGATATGAACACAAAGCTACGCCATGTGGGTTTCTCTCACAAAGTTTTTTTTCTCTTCGCTTTTTGTACGCCGTACAATCTCTCCAATAAATGCTCTATTGGCACGATTGTTTTTTTTTTCACTGTGAATTGCGCATCGCAATGCCAGCCCGAACAAACGTTTTTGAATCTCTTTGGAATGGGAGACGACTCCGTCGAGGCTCGCAGCAGTGCCATCAAGCCAATCAACGGCACCGATCTCTACATTGTTTTGGTTGCGAGTGCCCAGGAACTCCCCGACATCGAAGCTCTAGCGGAACAGGTCCCAGATGTCCCCATCGTCTTTTACAACCTAAAACTCGATGTGTTGCGAGGAGATCTTGGAGCCCCGGCTTTTCCACCAAAATCCTTCCAGGACCGTTTCCTCTCACGCGTCAAGCCCGTGTATTACCTGCGCACTCGGCAGTACTCCCGATCGACGCCGACGCCTCCTTTTTTGATCAACTACCAGGGCTGCCTCTTTCGGTCGTATCCCGGACAGTACCAAACCCTGCTTGACACTGGCACAGGAAGCTACAGGCGCCTCAAAGGCAGCGACATTCGCCCCGGCCTCGGAGATTTCAAGGAAGAACTGACGGACGCCCTGCGAGACGAGGGCGTCTTGCCAAAAACCGAAGGGGGCGCCCTCGACTTCTTGAGGGTCGGTTACAAGACCACTACCTGGTGGGAGGAAGACCGTGAAGAGGCATCGATGGACTGGAGGACTTGAGACACGACACAAAATTCCCAAATCAATGATCAAACCCAGTGACAGACCAAGTAGCCATCTCTTCTTAGCTTCCCTTCATTATACTTCTTTTTGTTTATCGCATATTTCTGAACTCAAGAGGAATATTCTTTTCTTTCAATTCTACCTATGCAACTAGTTTTGAATGCGTGGAAATGCACATGAAAAGACGTAGGTGTGATCACATACAACTCAATATTTAGTAGCAACTCTGGTAGTGTAGAACACAGCTGCATAACGAAAAAGCATTGAAATTCCAAGCACTTTTATTTTCTCTTTTCCTTATTTCATGAAAATGAACTGAAAACGTTGACGATTGTTTTGGTCACTTGATAGAATCGATTCTGAGGTAGCTGCAACTCAAAACTAATTGATTCGTTATTTCGTACCACTTTGCTACTCCAGTGCGTGCAACCGAGACAACTATTGCGTGAATCATGAGCGACCAAAGGCGTTCTTCAGTGTCATGGTCACACCCATTGATGCTGTAAATAAGCCAAAAGGAATGAAGAATAGATTCCGTTTTGCAAGTACATAGTCATCTGAGTTAGCTCCCAATTTCCGTTCGACGATCTTGGAATAGAGGAGGGTTGGGCAGATATAGACCAGTGCCGACCCCATGAGTGCGCCCGTAAATCCAGCTACCAATCCGACATCCTCGGCAACAATCGACAATGACGTTGTGACAAGGAGCAAGGAAAGGACAAGCTGTGTGTGGTGTTGAGGATCCCGCAGCCGCGGAAAGACGTCGAGGGCGGACGCCGCATTTTTAAATCCTTCCCGGCAGCCATTCGAGATGAGAGGAAATCCAAAAATGATAGAAAGTCCCGTTGCTAAGCGGCCGAAGGTTGCTAATACATCGCTGCTAGAATAGTTCAAGAGAATATTTCCCATGCTTTCGTCACCAAAGGTGGCATACCCCGCCACCATGGTGGTCACGTAAATTGATGCGAGAATGAGGTAAGCGCGTCTTGAAATCGTTGAGAATTTTTGGGMTGAAGCAGATTTTCCGAGAGATTTCCAATAGCTCGGGGCATTGTAATGTGAAATGAATGCCAATCCCAAGTTAGAGGTCAAGACTAAAGAATTCAAGTCGACGTTCCACAGCGAGGATTTCGTGAAGGACGGTATCTTCGGCAGGAGTCCCTCGCTAACAAACCTACCCGATGTTCCTGCACTGCCAATTCCATAGGAACCGTCGAGAGCGCGGACCACCATAAAACCTACAGTATACAACACAGCAATTAATCCCAAGATACTGGTGAATCCGAGGGAACTCAGATCACGAATTAGATTGAGCGGAAACAGAATCATGGACGCCGCGATACAGATGACAGAGGTTCGGGTCGTCCACCATTGTTCGATACCGAGAGTTCCCCGAAATAGAGCCGAAAAAACATCGCCAAGTAATCCAGTGTAAATGATGGACACAAAAAAGCATTGGACAAATACCATGGTATCTACGATCCATGCGGACTTGTTGTCGCTGTCAAATGCGTACGCCCACAAATCCTTGAAACTGTTCAGTCCCGTCAAGGCGCAGGATTTCCCTACCAAGGAAAAGGTATGAGAGCTGACCATAGCGAGAGTTAAACATATACCAATGGATGGAATCCATCCCGTTCCACTGGCTTTTCCAGCTGCAAGGGTTAAAATACCAGCGCCGGCCACGTTGTTGGCCAAATTGAAGACGCTTGTGGCAATCGAGGCTCCATCCTCTCTGTTTCCATTGGCGACGATTTTATTTCTACCGACTGCAGTTCGACGACTAGATGTGGGAGAAGCGACAGCTCGATTTTTGGCTGCTCCACCGCGCATTTCCAAGAACGCATTGCTTCCAAGTCTGTTTCGTTTGAATTGCGCAGCTCCTTCTGCCGAAACTAAAGTCAAAGACGCCGACAACAACAACAAAAGTGAGAGTTGTTTGAGACTTTCTTTCTTGCTTGAACTCCTCATCTTGATGTTGCGAATGATGGTGTATGTGACCTTATCAAAAGATGCAAATGTGGTATTTGAGCCCATTCAAATGTGAACCAATCAAGGGGATTTCTTTTGGTCGATGACATCGAGTACGAGTACGAGTTCGTACTATCTAGTCACAATAAAAAGGATGGATCGGCGTCAGCTGATGCTTTCTGTTGATTGGCATGCATTCCAATATTTTAATACAGTATTTCAGCTCTGACGTTGTAAACCATGCGAAAGTCGTACTAGTCGATTCAGTCGTGCACAGATGTTGAGTAAACTCGTCTGATCTTTTCCATTCAACTGGAACCATGTCGATTTCAATTTTTTGGGAAAAAATTAGATTCCCAGGCCCCCCTCATCGTACCGAAAATTGTGATCAGTTTTGATCACAAAAAATGTGATCAGAAATAACAAATTTGTGATCAGTTTTTTGTGATCAATACTATGGATATCATAACATATGATCGCCACACTAAGAAATTGGTTCCCATCGTTATTTTAATGATGCCATCCTTAGCCCAGTAGAGCACAGTACAAAATGTACTGAGGTAGTTTGCAACTATTCTGGTGGCGGAGAACCAATCCTGCTTCTTTCTCAGAAGGCAAAACATCACATACTGAAAATTTCAGGGAGCAACACTCAGTAGAGCTCTGTAGAATTTGTACTGAAAAAATTAAGGATGGCATCATTAAAATAACGATGGGAACCAATTTCTTAGTGTGGCGATCATTTGTTATCGTCACAAAAACTATTCGCGACCCAATTATTATGGTCAAAGTGAACGTTGACCTTGCGTCGCGCGAGGGACGAACTACCCTTTTTTTATTTATTTTTTCAGCACGCGATTCAAATCTGAACCAACCTTTTATGCGCAAGCCTATTTTTT